TATTTATCTGTTAACACAGTATACGTTAAAAATTTATATTCATTGTCTATTACTGACTCCAGAATCAATATCCCTGCTTCCATCCAATATTTCCATATTGTCATCTTTTTTCCAATCCAACATTAAAAATTATGAAAAAAGGCATTAATATGGAAACATTGGATGAAAGCAGGGATATTGACTCAGCATAGGAATTTAGGATTTATCATAGTCAATTTAGCATAGGAAAAAAGATTGAATCCATTTTTATTAGGCATTACATTTCATAGCTTTATAACTGTAGCTCCGAATTTGAAAAATGGAACCCTCCTTTGTTAATTGGTGATTGCTTTTTCTGTAAAGCTATTCTTGGAATCAAAGAACCCCATTAAAATATATAAACAAAGAGTACTGTATATTTTTTGGGGGGGGAATCCAGATATTTGAACAGGAATTGTTCTCAGAATATAAATTAATCTGGGAATAATATTCATTTTGAGAGCACTCATCTTTCCTCAAAGGGTGAGGTTTAACGACTCCCATCTATCTATATCTGAAGAAACCTTTTACTATATTCAGTGGTGGGATTCAGCTGGTTCGCACCACTTTGGCAGAACTGGTAGCTAATTTTTTGTTGCCCAGGCCCAGAATGGACTTCTGGAAGCGGCATCCACACAGAGAACTGGTTGTTCACATATTTGAATCCCACCTCTGACTATATTACCTGTTACTAATTGTGTTATGTCTTTCAGTAAACACATACCTAAACATTTAACAAATTTGGTACAAGTATGGAATTAAAATTCCTTAAATGAATGGTAACCAAATTTCCATCTATTTGCATCAGTTCTGATTTAGATCAGTTAATAGAATATCCTGCTATTTTACTAAAAGCGTCTATTATTTGCCTCAATACAGAAATTATAGAGTGAGGTTTAGAAATAAACACAAGAATGTCATTTGCAAATAAAAGCAGTTTATGTTTAACTGAATTATGTATTACTCTGTAAATCTCCCCATGTTGTCTAATAGCACAAGCCAAGAGTTCTATACAAATGTCAAAAAGCAAGGGTGAAAGTGGATATTCTTGTCTAGTTCCTCTAAATAATGGGAAAGTAGCAGAAAACATACCATTAATCTTTATTTTAAATGTGGGCAACTCATATAATATCTTCATTCATTTTTTTGATTTTCAAAGGAAATTCAAACCTAACACAGCAAACATGTATTTCTTATATGTTTTGTCAAAAGCTTTTCCTGTGTCTAATGATAAGATTAAAAATTGGTCTTCATTTTAATAATAATAATAATAATAATAATAATAATAATAATAATAATAAAGTTGGAAGGGACCTTGGAGGTCATCAAGTCCAACCCCCTGCTCAGGCAGGTAACCCTATACCATTTCGGACAAATGGCTGTCCAGTTTCTTCTTAAAAACTTCCAGTGTTGGAGCATTCACCGCTTCTGGAGGCAGGTTGTTCCACTGGTTAA